CATACATACATATATACATGTATACATAGAGAGAGAGAGAGAGATTGAGATTGGGAGAGAGAGAGAGAGAGAGAGTTAAAGGTGTAGGAGAGGGAGAAGAATATATTAAGATTCCATATAAGATCTTTGTGGAACTTACCTGAGAATCGAAGGGAAACATTGCAAGGTTGAATTCGCAATTGTAACGAACTGTATATAATTGGCTGATCTCGATGCTGTTCTCGAACCCGGAAAAGATGTTCACTGTCGAAGGGAAGTTGTCAGGGTTAAGAACTGTTATTCAGGAGTTTAGGTAAGGCATGCGCATGCTGATGAGCACTTTAAAATACCTATACATATGCATATAAAGGTACATGTAAATACGCATGTACATGCACATTTACATGTACAAGTAAATATACCTATGCATATAAATGAACATGTACGTGTACATATACTTATACTAATATATATACACATAAATGTATGTACACGTACATAAACATGTAAATGTACGTGTGCATGTACATATACATATAATATAACATATACATTCATATATTGCTTGCTAGTTTTCGCAAATTCTACCACAGCAAGAGAATCCTTCGACGCATGACACCAAATCCCCGAACGGCCTCCGCCATTCCCCAGGAACTCACTCTCCTTGGTGAGGGACGGCGGCCCGGGCATCGAAGGGCCCTCGCGGATGATCTCGACGCGGGCGCCTTGGTCCAGATTGGTGAAGATATTCCCGTGGGCGTTCCTGAAGAAAATCCTGGGCGTCCAGATTGACTTGATGGCCTCGCCCGCCATCAGGTTGAGACTGCGGTCGTCTTTGAGGTTGAGGAACTGGAGGCGGGTGTCCTGCCAGCGGAGGCTCAGCAGGAGCGTCGTGTCGTAGAGGAGCTCCTGCGTGACGATGGAAGGGAAGGCGATCAAGTCGATCATGAACAGGATGGGCAGGGGGTCGGGGTCCGTGACGGGGGCGGGGGGATGAAGTTGGCATAGCCTGTGGGCAGGTCGACCAGGCTGCACTCGACCTCGTCGCTTTGGTCGGGGCAGTCGACGCGCAGGTCACAGCGCTGCTTGAGGTCGATGCAGGAGCCGTCCTCGCAGGTGAACTGGCCGCTGCTGCAGATGGAGAGCGTCATGGCGACTTCTTCGCCGACCTTCATCTCGCAGATTTCCGCCGCGAGACGCCACGTCTTGGTCCCGAGGGGATATAAGCCCTCCTTGATCGGTGTCCAGTAGGCTACGGCTTCTGGGGTCTGCAATTAGCCTTGCACTGAGCATCAAATGCGTGAAAACGGAGAAAAGCATCATGCAACAAATATATGCATTCTGATTATTACTTTAGATATTACATTTATTGTGCCTGACAGAGGTCAATGAATCTTCCAGTAACGATAAGAAATCCTCACATACATACCACTGACAACCAAAGCTAAGCGTGCTAACCTTCCGAGACTGGATGACCCACGAAGCATTGTTAGTATCCCAGAAGATGTCCGAGTGCAGATAGCCAATGATGGACGGGCGGCCGTCGATGTCTTCACCCAGAGTGTACTCCCGGTTGAAGGGCGAGTACCTGCACACAGCGGGTCCTTTCAAGTACAGCGTCGTACCGCTCGTGAACTCGCAGGCGAAGCAGAAGGAGTACGAATCGAGGCAGGCGATGTCGGACCAGCGGCCAGGAAAACTACCGGACAGCATAACGAGGCAATTCTCGACGGTGCCGCCGTTGGGCCCCGAACCCCGCCACTTCCCTTCGAAGCTCAGGGGTTTTTCGGACGCCCAGTACACCCACTGGCGCTCCGTGGCCTCGTCGTTCGCACCGAGCCACAGGAACGAGGACCCTTGGCCGCCCGAGCAGTAGTCGGCCCGCTCCTTCGAGGACTCGTAGACCCAGTCGCTCTCCTCCTGGGTCAGCGGGACGGCCAGCATCCCGCCGAGGACCTGAGGAATAATACAGCTCCGGTGATACATGCAAACATACATATATATGTATATATATACATATACACACACACACACACACACACACACACACACACACACACACACACACACACACATATATATATATATAATATATATATATATATATATATATAATATATATATATATATATATATATTTATACATGAGATTGAGATAGAGGGGAAACCAAAGCCACTAACGGCACACATGTGCAGCGATGACTTGAGCGAGTAGCGGTCGGGGATGACGACGAGCTCGCGCGTGGAGCGGTCACAGATGTCCTCCCGGCGTCGCGTCGTCAACCGAACCTCGCCAGTGATGTTCCAGCGCTGGTCCGACCAGGCCAGGATGTCGCCTTCCTGGTCGTCTCTGCACGCCGCCACCTGGGGAGAAGATATTGGAAGTATGTGGCGTGTGAAGGAGTATGAGATCGTGCTGTAGTATATGTGCATGAGATGCACTAGTCAGAAACATTGAGTATTCTTAATTATTTATAAGTTCAGACTACATTTATTAAGCATACTCCGTGAAATACTATAT